CCCTTGTACTTTCAATTTATAATTATTTCTTAAAAATTTTCATAATTTTATCTTTTAAGGTATTATTTCAAGATTGGACTTAGAACTTTTGAATGTTCCTATAAGTTTTATAGCCATTAATATTAGTAAATTAAATAATGCTAACAAAAGCACAAACCAAAATTAAATCAATACTAATGCTAACAAAAGACATTCAATTCAATATTACGAACGGGAATGTATCGAATATCTATTTTTTGTTTTGCAATAACTTTAGATAAAAATGCATAACCTATTTTTATTTTTCTTTAGCGTTTAGTCATGTAATTAATAATTCCTTATTACTATACTTATTTTAACATGACTTAGTACTTTTAGATTATGTTTGTTTTTATTATGGCTTTTTAATTACCAATATTTATATTACATAATTTTATTGTCTTCATTGTTGAATATTTTAGGATAATGCTATGACCCATCTCATATTTTATATTATTTTCTTGAAAAATACTTTATATAGTTGCATCTTACTAGAATTAAAGAAATATTTTGAACACAAGTTATATGTTTTGTTCTACGAAGATTTTATCGAATAAAAAAAACCCGAAAAAATCTGAATAACACGAAAACCCGAGAAAAACCGAGAAAAATCGAGATTGAAAAACCCAAGTTTTATTGGTTTGGTTTGGTCTTTAGATTTAATAACCCGACACAATTGGTTTGGTTTGGTAATTATAAAATCTGAACCAACCCGGTATGTACACCCCTAATGAGAGGATTTATAATGTCAAGGGCATAATAGACTTTTCAAGTGAAAGTTTGTAAAATCTGGTCAAAGTGATTATTATGATAACTAGTTACATAGTAAAATAATTTTTGTGTAACAAAAGAAAACAAAAATGACTTTTGGGTAATGAACACAAAATTGAATGACTTTTACGTAATAAAGAAAGAAATGTGCCTTTTGGGTAATGAACGCAAAATTGAATGACCACCCATGAAATTTAAAAGTAGAGCAACCCGGTAAAGACCATTTTGATCATTTACTCCTAGTCACTCAAAAGTGTTTAAGTTGGAGTCACTAAATAAAAGCAGTAAGTTTTTCTTTTTTACTGGTGATTTTGGCCTAGGGAAGAAGGAATTCTTGACCACAGGAAGCATCCATCATGTTAGACTAATTGAAGTTACGTTTGTGCTGAGAAAGAGCATAAGTTAGTATTAGTTTATGATTTCATGAGTAATGGATCATTGGATAAATGGATTTTTTGGTACAGGCTCTACGCAGTTTACCTTTAATTGGCAAATAAAAAGGAGCATGAATTATCCATGATATATATATATATATAGCAAAAGGATTGGCTTATCTTCATCTTCATGAAGAATGCAGGCAAAGAATAATAGTCCACTTAGATAGACGTTAAGCCACAGAACATTCTGTTGCATGACAACTTTTGTTTTGAGCAAAGGTATCAGAAGTCGTCCGCATGATGAAACTCACTTGGACTATAGTGTTCCAAATTCATAAACAATTGCAGCGATCAAAAGAGTCGCAGACACTGCGACTACATTGTTTCCTTCAATTCTTTCAGGACCTAGGTAAGGATCTCTAAGCATGATAAAGAAGAAATAGTTCCTGGAACAAAGTAAGATCAGTCTATATGAAGACAAGACCTTCACATCAGCTGTAGTTCAAACAACATTTTCCTTCTCCTCCCTGCAGACAAAGCAACAATTTTGATTTGATAAGTCGATCACAATGTAAACATGTACTAGTAGAATTCATATTTTTTGTTTATGGAAACATTGAAGCAAACAGAATATACTAGGTCCACAGTTGAAGATAAGCCTCCATCTCCTCATCTAAACCAGTAGCAGCTTTTGCAATCAAAGCTTCTCCTTCCATAGCAATCTTGCTTTCCACCATCTCCTCTATCTCCGCCATAGCCTTCGATCGATTCAGTGCCTGCTCTGCTCCTTCATTTTGAGACTCTGAATCATCTTCAAACAGTTTTTCCCAGAACTCGCGATTCTTATCATTTTTAGCAGTTGCTTCTTTCTGTTGCTCATTAGAACTTACTGAGCCACCAGCAGAGTTTGATGTCTGTCCAATCCCATCCTGGACAGAGTTAGCCACACGATCTGGCGACTCTACCATTTGTGGCCTCTTTCTTGTGTCATTGCTGCTAGAATCTTCCCTGACTTTCGATTTCTTGACAAATAGCTCCAAAATATTGCTAATTTCTGTATCCTTTCTGCATCCTTTCATAGTAGGAAACAAAACTCTCATGTTTTCTTGTCTATCTTTCAACTTCTGAAGTTCTATCTTCAGACTAATGTTATCATTCCTCAACTTCTCCACCTCCTCTTCCAAATTATCCTTCATTGGATCAACACAAGAACTATGCGAACCTTGTTGTGGCTTATTGGTTTTGGATAGTTGAATCCTGCTTTTGATATTCTTCAGCCAGTGCTTTTTCCCAGCTCGAAACCATGGATTTGCATACTCACTTTTGTAAGAACAAACCTTCTTAAAACCCTGAATTCATTCTTTCTTGTCAAATCAATCCAAATTTTCACTTCAAATAGAAAAAGGAAACAAAGCAACAGCTTTCAAGAAACCGAATCCGGATTCATAAAAGCACCACATGCACACTAATTACTACAACAACAACAACAACAATAACAACAACAACAAACCCATTGAGTTCCCACAAGTGGGGTCTGGGGAAGGTAAGATGTACTCAGCCTTACACCTACCTTGTAATTACAACGTTAAATTAAGACGATGACATTGAGGCCACATAGATGTTGAGCTAACAAAAAAAAGGGGGAGGGTATGGAAGAGAAGCCAAAATTTCAAGAAACAATAAAAATGAGAAAAATATCATAGCAAACATATCAGAAGGTACAGAAGTGGAAAATGCAGTAAAAAGTCATAGTTGTTGAGCTAGTAACAAAAAATAGGAACACAACACAGAAAACATACTAATAGAGAAGTTAAATTTGCAGAATACTCACATAGTTGTTGAGCTGGTAAATGAAGCTGGATAAGTTGCTATGTTTGAAGTACTTTGGAAGAACTTCAATAGCAAACTTGTTAGTATCAGTAATAAGAAAACTGGTTTTGCCAGAAGTCCAATGTATGAAGGGATCAGTTTCAGGATCTTCCAACATTTCAAATGTCTTCAACAGAAATGGTGGCGGAGAGACGCCTCGCAATCCGGTGAGTCTCCGTCCACGGCCAGCATCACCTCCTCTTCTTCCTTCCGATCCAATAATAGCAGCACCATTTTCAGCATTTTCTTGATTGTTGTTCTCCATTTTTGGGTTGGTTCGGTATGAGATTGTTTTTCTTTGAAACCTTTTGAGAGAATATGAAAGTAAGTGAAAGAATTGATCATGCATGCAAATGAGTTAAATAGGTGTGTGAAACATAACATATATTATGAAATCATACGTTTTCAGGTACGTACAAATGCAGAGTATGGCATTAGAATCAAGACCATGCGATTTTTACTTTCCCTTTTATTTTAGTGTTATATTGGTCACACACAACAGCCAGCTGCTACAGAAGTACAGCTCACTCTTTTTTTACGCCAGCTGCTAATTATAGTTATGGATATTACCTCTATGTTTCAATATCAAGCATCTAAACCCCTATTTTATGAGGACCAATACTCCAATAGTGTAACCACATGCATCGAAGGGTGGTCAATCGAACACCCTTCGTCTAAAGATTATACTATATATATATAAATTTATATTGTGTATGTAGGTCAAAAAATATTTTTTAAATATGTATATTTAATTTTTAACACGCTTCGCGAAATTCTTGGCTTCGCCAATGATGAGGATCCTATGCAAAAATGTTGCATAAAATATCTAATTATTTCAATAGATTAAACAAGGGGGTTTAAGTGTTTGATATTGAAATATAAGGATATTTGTGTAGAATTTTCGTTTTATAGGGGATTTTAATTAGTATTTGATTGGGGTCTATATATATATATATCTGCAAGTCAGTCACATTATAATGGCGTTTAGAACAATTTGTACTTTTGACTAACTACTAGTAGAATATATTCTTCGTATAGCAAACCATTTAGTGTGGAAAATCAGCCCTTAAAGCTAATCCTAGCCATTATAACTATTTACCCATTACGCATGGGATTGTGGATAAAAGATAAGGGGATGCCAACAAGCTATATTTTCTACTACTATTTTCTTTTAAATTTTGTTTTACTAGTAAAATGCTTTTCTTCACGAAATTATATTATCAATATTTGGTTTTCTTAATTAATAATTTCTCTTGTCTTATGACCGATATATAAACATAATTGTCAGCCTTTAATTATTCAAAATTATCACCACAGCTATCCATGCTTTAATTAATTTATCCCTGCAAGTTACAATTTTTTATCATTCTTTGGGGCGAGAGGAGCTTTTCGTACTCTGGTCTACCGGCTTGATTCTTACAAATTAGTAAAAATAGCACGTGCTAGCCAGTTTTCGGACTGGTCATTCAAAAATAGTCAACATTTATAAAATCATTGAAAAATAATCACTATTTTACTGCAACAGGGACCGGTCCAGCATAATATACTGGAGATCTGTGATCACTTGATTTACAAGTAAATTCAATGTTCCGAGGCCTTAAAAATCTCCTTTTATCTCACCTCGATTTGCGTGCATGGTCCGAACGTATATACGGAACGCTTTTATGTGGAAGTTTGATAAAAATACTAATTTGGCCTTTAAAATTAAATTTAAGTTGACTTCGGTCAACATTTTGGGTAAACGGACCCTAACCCAAACCCGTGATTTGACTGCCCTTGAGGGTCCATAGAAAAATATGGGACTTGGGCGTATGCCCGAAATCGAATTCCGAGGTCCCAGTCCGAGAAATGAATTTTCGAAGAAAATTGTTTAACTGAAATTTTAAGAGTTTTTGAAAATTTGAACGTATTTGAAATTGATGGTATCAGGGCCGTATCTTTGTTTCGGAGCCCGGTACAGGTTTTATATAGTATTTAGGTTGAGCATGTAAAATTTGGTAAGAAATGAACTTGAAATGACGTGAATCGGACCCTCGGTTGTTAAAATTTGAACTTGAGAGTTATGGAGATTTTCCTTGATTTTGATGCTAAACTCGTAGTTTGAGATATAAATTTGGCGATTTGATCGCACGAGTAAGTTCATATGATGTTTTTGAGTTAGTATGCAGGTTTGGTTTGGAGCCCCGAGGGCTCGGGTGAGTTAGTATGCTCAGGACGCGAACGCGAAGCATTGGGGGTGTTACCCTTCGCAAACGCGGCCTGGCTATCGCGAACGCGAAGGCCACTTGACCGGGAACTGGGGGAAGGGATTTTACCCTAAGCGAACGCGACGTAGGTCTCGCGAATGCGAAGGTCAGGGGGGTTAACCCTTCGCGAACGTGATAGGTTTATCGTGAACGCGAAGAAGACCTGTCCAGTGAATTAAAACAGAACCAAAACGGGAATAAGCCATATTTTCATATCTCCTTCCCTAAAATCAGACCTTAGGCGACTTTTGAAGAGCAAATTCAATCCCAAATCATAGGTATGTGTTCCTAAACTCATCTTCTTCCTTTTCCATCAACACCCATTAGATTTCTAGGATTAAATATTATTCTTCCATGGTAGAAATTAGGGATTTGGGTAGAGTTAGGGCTTTTTGAATAATTAGAATTTAGACCTCGTTTTGGGGTCGGATTTCGAAACTAATTGAATATTTGGGCTCGTGGGTGAATGGGTGATTGGGTTTTGGTTCGAACCTTGAGTTTTGACCAAGCGGGCCCGAGGTCGATTTTTGACTTTTTGGAAAAAATGATAGCAAACTTATAATTAAGCATTGGGTATGAATTCTTTAGCATTTATTGATGTTGTTAAATTAATTTGGACTAGATACAAGTAATTTGGAGGTGAATCTTAAAGGAAAAGCGGTGTTTGAGGCTTGAGTTGGCCGTGGAAGTTCGAGGTAAGTGTTTGATCTAACCTTAGTTTGAGGGAATATGTGTGAGCACGTGATTTTTGCCCTATGAGAATTACTTCCAAAAAAAAAAATTCAAAATAAAATGGTTTGGTGTTATTTGTGATTTATTTGTATTTTTTGTATGTGCATGTTTATTTCTACTTTAATTAAGAAAAATACAAAAAAATATGTGTTGCATGTGCATTTAGGATTTAATTTTACAATTTAGGAATTAATTAAACAAACAAGTTTGTTTTACAAAATGAAAAATCACAAAAAAATAATTTACTTTGCATTTTAGCATTTAATGTCAAATTGTGTGATTTTATTTCTAATTGATATTCAATTGTGTGTGATAATTATTATTAAGGGTTGATTAGTATTTTGTATAATTTTTTCTTTACAAATTTATTTTAGAATTTTGGTTTTGGGAATTAAAAAAAGAAAATAGAAGAAAAAGAAGAAAACAAGAGAAAAATCGGACTGGGCCAATTTTAAAAGAGAGTTCAGGCCCAGTCCAGATACCCTCTTGCCCGGTCCAACCCAGCCAGCCTTGAGGGCGGATGGAACGACGCCGTTTGGGCATGAAAAATCTGTGCCGTTGATCTCACTCGATCGAACGGTCCAGTCAATCCCCAGATATATCCAAACGACGTCGTATATAGCCGATAGATCCAGGCTACCCGTTTCATTTGATCCAACGCCTCAGAACAATCCCCACAACCCGACCCACTTGCCCCCGGATCGACCCCGCCCCAGTACTACCCCAAAACGACACCGTCTCCTTTAAATGAATTGATCCAGGCCATTGATCGTGCCTAATCCAACGGCCAGGATTAGACCACCCCCTCCGTATATAAACCCAACCTCTCACCTCACACCCCCCTAAGCCACACCCCTGTTCATTGTCTCCTTCAGAGACAAACCAAACAACCCTCCAAACCCTAGCCTCCCTGAAACCCCTTCGCTTGAAAACCGGCAGCAACGACGTCGATGACCATGAAACTAACACCCCTAGAGCACCTAACCACCCTCTCCACGAATCCCTTAACCGTTTTGCTCGAATCAGACTGTAGCTTCTCGAATCTTCAATCGAAGATTCGAGCAAACTTGAAACCCACCCCAACCAGTCCCAAACTCACACCAAGGCACCCCCTGACCACCCTCGTTATGGATCTGTTAACCGTTTGCCTCGAATCAACCTCCAGCTTCTCGAATCTTCAATAGAAAATTCGAGCAAAACTCGAACCTACCCCAACCAAGCCCAAATTCACACCCTGGCACCCCATGACCTCCCTCATGCCCAAACCACCTTTGGTTTGAATCGAATCTGGCTAGAAACACTCAAACCCTAAATCGAAGCGTAAGAACCCTAGAAAACCAAAACTGGTTTCTGTCCGAAGTTTAAGGGAATTTGGGTGTTTAACTGACCTTAGTCGAAGTGTTCTCAGTTGAGAACACTCGATTAAGGTCCGTTCGACCTCAAACAGTTCGAGTTTGAGTTTGAATCAGGGTCGTCCAGGTCCCGAGTTCTTGAGGTATTTTCCCCCTTTCCTGTTTGTTCCATTTTTGTGTTTATTTATTCTGTTTACTTTAGTTTAGTTTTATTGAATTTTCATTTTCTTTTGTCGATTGATTCTGTCCGTCTTCAATGAACCTTTATTTGGTCGAACTTTTTCTGGTCATGGTTAATGAATGTGATAAAACTATATAATCGATTTGAATGAGTGTCGTCGATTAGTTAATGAGTCCCTGTTTTCTATCAATACGATTCGAATCACCTGTGTGCCTGTTCGATTCTTATTTGCTATTGATTGTATGTGTTGTAATTCATGTAGTCGATTGAATAAGTGCCGTCGATTAGTTTTACATGCTTTAATTCTAATTAAATAACCCGATAACAATGTGATTCGTACTGCTTCAATTCTGATTGAATCATTGTTTGAATTTGATTGTGAATTGGTTATAGATGTAATATTTTAGTGATCAGTTAAAAATCAGTTGTTAGGTTTGTAACTTAGAAAACAGATCGATTGAAGTTTAGGGCATGGCAGTAATACACAGGGGTTAAGGGGGTATTTTAGGGATTGAAAAGTTCAAAAATTGGTTAGTTTAAGTGGGCTGACAGTAGGGTACTAAAATACCATTAAACTAATACAATTGTTTAGTGCTAATGGGGAACAAAATTTAATGGTGGGGGAAAAGTTTAAAGAAAATGGATTAAGAAATAGGTGCCCATACCTATTTGGATTTAAATAAAGAAAATACAAGTGTAGTGGGAAACAAAACATATACTAGTGGAATTAAAAGGAGATGATGGGCAGAATTAG